GCTCCAGCTGCGGCTTCTTCTGCATTTTTCATTAGCCTGCGCACTTTTTTTTTTGCTTTTCCCGACCACGTTCCTTGGCTCTTGGCCCACCTGTCCGAACTTCCTGCCCCTGGAATCTGGTCTAACCCCCCCTTGTTGATTTTGCAAGTGCATTTTGCACTTGATTCTGCGCCACTCGGCTCAAGTCGTTGCTTTCTCCAGCAGCTGCATAATAAAATTGTACACGGGCCAAATCGCCGGGGCTGTCGGCATCTGCCTCCTTGGCTATATATGCTGAGAACTGAGTATACGAGTCCTGTCACAGATTTGTTTTCAATTGTTCAAAAGACAGAGATGTGGGTGCGAACAGATAATCTGAAACTTGAAATAAAAATACACGGAATTTCAACAAGATAGGTTGCTGCTTTTTCATTTTAAAGCGGGAAAATTATAATAACTACAATATAAATTTCAGGAATTTACTCTTTACCATTAAAATTATCTTTAAACAAATTTATTAATGGTAGAACTGTTTCAGCCTGAATTGCGCAGTCCAATTTAAAAACCAAGAAAGATGTCAGAAATGAACAAATAAGAAAACACGAACGAAAAAAATGTTTTAATCGATTCAACACATTAGCGACGTATAAAACACAATTTAACACAGCGAAGCGAGCCATGTTATGCACTCGAACAAACAATCAATGAGCACGAATAAATTGCTGTCATTAATGGCCTACACTTCCTGTTTGCCAAGGGGAAATCGCCGACGAGTACATGTTAATTTTCGATGCCGCCAGCCAATTGCGGCAAAACAATTTATTGTTATACAAGGGGAAACAAAAATCAATGGCGATAATCACAATGGAAAGAACCCACTCCTCACTAATCTCTGTATAAATGTGACCACTCTGCGGATAACGCTTGTGAGACCTTCATAACGTAATTATCATTAATTATAGGGGCATTATTGTGACGGCGACATGTTTAATTAGGGATCTTGTTGTGAGGCATAAAAATTACCAAATAGCTGGCGAGCTTGGACATTTACCACGAATTCTGACAAAATAAATTGTTCTCTAATAGCAAAATTATGGATTTTCTGTTTCTTTGCTCTTTGTGAAAAAAAGTAAAAAGAAAACAGGTCTAGCCTTGCATAAAAAAATGTTTTTACTAAGGTTAAATGTAATATATTATAAAAGTATATGACGTCTTTTAACGTTAGGAATAAAGGTATTTTCTTTAAAGAATATATATTTAAATTCATATTTAAAATTCATATTCATATTTATTTTTTAGTAAACAACTTTAGCACAATTTAAATGGCTAACCAACAACTTTTTAGGTTTGGAAACTACCTACATTGACTTACTGTAAATTAAATGAAGCTACTTTCTGCTGACTTCTTGGCTTCTTTCGATTTTCCATTAAGCTCTGTGTGTAAAAAACTAAACATAGCCCACTTTTTTCATTGGCTTCCGTGTGCGGAGTTCATTAGCGTTTTGTCGCCTTCATAAGCCAGGCCCGATTGAAAGCATTTTCGACGCTTTGTTGTAATTTTTACAACATTTCTATTTTACCTTCATTTTTTTGGTATAGTTTGTTCGCTCGCATTGCGTGAGATTCGATACACGGATAGGCGAAGCTACTAAGTAAACGGGAGCATGGGGCTCCTGATACCTGTATAAATAGAAAATCCATCCAACAGAGATATCGGCTAACCTGATGATTTCAAAATGGCTGTGCGAAATATTGAACATTGCCAAAAGGTGAAAGTTTAATGAACGCATGGCGTGTGCGTATTTGGCAACTATTTTTTTGTTTTGTCAAATTAAACTGCAAATATTTGCTGAAAACAATCAATGAGCCACGTGTCTCAATGGGCGTATGCGCAATATGAATAATTTAACGAAATCATGTATATGTGATATTCTACAGCAAAACTATTCCGTTGGGGGGGTAACAAAATCAAAGCAGCAGTCAAGCATTACCAATTTAATATTCAGTAAAAACATTTTAATGTAACTTTAAACAAAGTTGATACATATTAGTATATTAAATTAACTTTTAACTTTGTTAAATTTTGATTAAGAATTAATTAGCAAAAAATAATTTAAAACACGGAAAACCCGATTAAAGCTTATTTATTTTAAACTTAAAATACCAAAAATATTGTAGCTTCCATATTTAAATTTTAAAGCAGTGGTTCCTTAAAATCATTTATAAATGTGTCCAAAAGTATGCAACAATATATTTTAAGAAGTTTATGTCTAGAAAGATCAGTGCATACTTTTCGACATCTTTAGAATTTTTTAAAAACCGTATTGATATCCCCTTTTTTAGGATTTTTAAAATATTTTTCAAGATGTTGTTTTCTATTTTTCTTTGGGCTCTAAAGTAGGCACCAATGAAACTCCGACTGCACTTAGTGGCTCAATCACCTGACTGCCAGGCGTCTAGCTAGCCAAATATTTTGAAAACTTCCCAACGGGGCCGCACCTCGTCCTTTTGCTCCTTTGCTCCTTGGCGTCCTTTGCTGGCCCGCCTTTCAATCCTTCTCGTGCATCGCCTCTGCGTACGTGCGTTGCCTTTTTGACTCCCCGGCGGCCTTCGGCGGAGTCTCCTCGTTGTTCGTCAATCAGCGTCGCAAATTGTTGATTACACCTACATTAAGTCAAGGGCAGGACAACAGTTACAGTTCCAGTTCCAGCTACAGTTATGTGGAGCAGCCGATCGATACTTTCTCTCCACTTTCCTTCCTTCCGCCCGCTTTCGCTTTCGCTTTTTCTGGCGCTCGCTTTGTGTGACTGCGATTTTGCACACGAAAAGCAAACGAAACCAGAAATCGTGGCACTACATACAAAGTCCATCATGTTCACTTATATACTCGTCCACCGACTATATAGTCAGTCATGTATATACAGTAACATATATATATATATATATCTGTTGGGCTCTCCTACCTTCTTCGTTTATATAGGCCAGCCTGTTTGTGTGCCGTTTTATTTGCCTTATTACTGGCACGCAGCATATTTAGTGGCTGGCTTAGTGACATTGCCTTGTTTATAGTCGCTACTCCGCGGAACAGGATGGCTCAGAGCCCGGGGGTCTAGTCACTCATTAGCCCGTCTACGTGTTGGCCATCGCACGAGTCTGCAATGGAGGGTGGTCAGGTGCAGATGATGGCATCTATGAGTCGCCTGCTGGGCAATTTAAACTGACATTGACTGGTGTTTGTTTGATTTGCGACAAGTTTTAGAATGGATAAGCCCTAAAGCGACAAATAAATAAAAACGAATATTACGTATACGTACACCCAAAAAAACATAAGGTTAATACCGGTTGTATTAAAAGTATTTCAGAGGCAGTAATAAAATTAAAGTGTAGATTGAAGACTGAATAAAATAAAGTTTATACTGTACAGTTTTATTTCTATATTTAAGAGTATAGAATTTACACCCAAAAAAACATTTTGTTAATACCGGTTGTATTACAAGTTTTCCAAGAGGCAATATTAAAATTAAAGTATAGATTGAAGACTGAATAAAATAAAGTTCATACTTTACAGTTTCATTTCTATATTAAAGAGATTCTATACTCTCTATAGATTTGTGGTATTATTTTTAAACCAACTAACTTAAATGTAGTACTTTGGAAAGTATTAATTTATTACTAATTCTTTCGATGCCAAATCGATACTCAATATTATAGAACAAGTGTAACAATAGTTGCTTTCCTATGAATTTTTTTTGGCGGTGTAGGTTCGACGACAGGGGTCGGCATACAGTACAATGACAATTTGTTTTCCATTGTGATTGTACACTGTACCTATTGTGGCAGAGATCAAGCATAGCTATTTCCTGCCCTATGTCCGCCTAATGCTTTTCAATTGGGCATTGCGATTTTTTTGTTATAGCCAAAACCATTGTTTCTAAGTCTTTCGTGTATAAATAATGGTACAAGCAATTTTAATAAAACTTATTCAACAATGCTTCGAATACTTTCCACTTCAAAGCAATATTTTTTGCTATAAAAGATATGGATAATTAAAGAAGAGTATACCCTCTTCTTTAAAAAGATAACTATAAAAGGTCAATTTCTTAGCTACCCTTTGAAAATTGTTGGTTTGCAGGCGCATCTATTTCCTGGTCTACAAAAACTGAATTAATTTATAATTATTTCAAATTTATTAAACAAGGGGTTTTTTAATGATTTCTTATTACTGCATGGGCTGCGCTACAGAAATGATATTGTCTAATTTAGCTGTTTGCCGAGCTGCTATGAGGCATGTCGATTTATTTTCTGGAAAATATTTCAAACTATATTTGCCTTGTGTCTTGAAGTGTGCTCCCTTCATCTGCCATATAAGTGTTTAACTCCTGTCAGTGATCTTATTTTTTCAGTTAATGTTCCATATTTTCCATACCTAAGTCTATCTCCCTGTCTATTTAACTATATTCTCCTATTACTTGCTGTTAAACTGTTTTTAGTTATTATATCCTAACTGTTAACTGTTTTATTCCGATGTGCGTTTCTGCCTTTATCCAATTAAATAAAACAAAAATCGTACGAAATTGGCAACCAACCTCTTATGTGTTCCCATTGATGTTGTAATTGATGACAAGAAAGTACTCTTGGAACCAAAACCATAAATTTTAGTATTCGGTTTTATAACCATATTTGATTGCTTTTGCATTAGACGTTCCTCTTGTGATGAGTTGTATTGTATGCTTTTGAAAATATATTTATAAATATTTTAACGATATGTGTACTCCCCCTTAACCACAAACGAGAGACGATCTCACACAGCCCAAACTAATCACAGAACTGTATATATTTTCTATGCATCTGCCCCACAACCACCACCGTCAAAACAATTCAAAAAACCCAATCGCCACCGCTACCGCAACCACTGTGTGTGTTGTTGTCGTCGTCGTGCTATCCGTGCTATCGTTGTCACTCGGTCAATGGTCAATGGTCAATGGTCTATGGTCACGATCTCCTGCTGAAAACCCCAAAAGTGCGCCCAAGGACGTGCCGCCTGGTTGGAGCGGGGCCGACGCTGCAGCGTCCAGGATCAGCAGCAGCAGCAGGCCACCTGCCATCGACGCTGGGTGAAGCGGAACCGAGTAAGTGCCACCACGAAGGACCGCCTATCGCCGTGTACATAGTACCCGTAATATCTGTAACCCTGCCTCTATTTGTAACCCCATCCATCACTCGCTCTCCTTTCAATCTCACATATCTTTCATGCACCACTTTCTTTAATGTTCAGCGCATTCCCTGTTAGGTGAAGCAGGCAGAAGATCTTCAACTTTAGTAACCTAAGAAGCTATCATCTTTATTGTCTATACCAATTCTTTCACTTTGATTTTCATAACGACCCCTTTTATAAATGACGAATTTAGTTAGGGTCACAAAAAATGTTTTTATACTCAATACATATGAATTCATTTTAAACAATAATATCTTCTATCTTCTGGTGATATAAGATATATATACATATTCATAGCTCTTGAGATTGTTCAGTAATAAATTATATTTATAGTATTTTCATTGTCCCAAAACTTTCACTACCTTGAATAAATAACTTCTTATACTATGATCATTATTTATGATCTTTAAGATATATTGCCATGTTTCAAATTAACCCTTAATTTGAATTTGAATTGTTTAATATTTTTTCCATGTCTAAAACCCATCAAATATGAATAATATAAACAATGTTATACATTCTAGTTACATACTTTTAAATTGAGAAATAAAAAGTTTTAATTTAAACATTCAAAACATTTGATTTTGTTTTCCTTGAGTTGTATATAGATAACAACAACTTTGATTCAGATGTGTTTAAATCATATTCTGATAATGCCCCTATTCATTGGCAGATCCAAGACGCCTCTTTGGGCGGTTCGTCGGACGATGAGGATTTCCTGGGCGTTCTGCGAGGTCCCAGCACCTTTGCGAATGCCTTCCTCTACGTGGGTCTGGGCACGGTGGCGCTGGGCCTCGTCATCGCATTCGTTGGCACCGGCGAGAAGGGCTTCAAAACCACGGAACTAAGACTTATAGGCCCCTCTCTAATAGGCAATACAATAGTTGATCAAACATCAAAGTTGTTTAGTTACTAATGGGTAATTTTTCTGCAGGATTGGGCCTGATCTGTTGCATTTTACGCATACTCTTCTGCATCTGTCCATCGCACTGCATCTCATCCAGCAAAAAGACGCGCAAGAAAAACGGCAACAAGATTGATGCGGATCACACAACATCGTTGTTAAGGAACGAGAGCAAAAGAGTGTCGATAGCGAGGGGACCCAGTTTTCAGGTGGGTATTCCCTAAATTTTGGTTTTACATCATTTTGAGATAATGGTATACTATTCCATATTATAGCCCAAATACCCCATAGCACACAAACGCAGCCAGAGCAAAATGCTGAACGAGGGAATGGAGGCACTGCGTCAGATAGCCACCACATCCTTGTTCATGCAGAACGAGCAGAAGACCGCCATCAATCGGGTGGTGCCGATCATCAATGAGCCAGATAGCGGTGGTAAGATCTATTTAAAAATTTATTTGGGGTTACATACTTTTGAACTAGCTAAAAAATTGGACGTTAGCAGCAACAATGATATTTTAAATTTAATAATTTTTGGAACATTGTTTTTTCGATATTTTGAAATTTTTTGAGGTATACATGGTTTTGAAAAAAATAAAGTCCGATCGCTTTAGTTTTTTGTATTCCTTTTTTAACTTCTAAACAGAGTTTCCATTTTTTAAAAACTTTATTCTTTAGAGCCTTAAAAACAATTTTTGAAGCAACAATAAACAAAACAAATTTGTAAAGCTCAATCCTCAAGTGAAAATATAAAAAGAATGTGAAATCAAGAACTATAAGACTCAAAAACCCGATACTGATTTAAACATTTGTATATTTATACTTAGGAAAATTCTTACGTTCTCATCTGAGTTGAAAATGTTCTTAAAAATAGAACGACATTTTTGAAGTTGAATATATTTTCATTTTGCTCGAATCAAGTTGAAATGGCGGCATTTACATTGTATATCTCAACAAATAAACTTTTAGTCCAGTCAGTAGTGTATACTTATCAAAAAGTTGATAAATAAACTCAATTTAACTTTTCTCTTCTCACCATTTCGTTCTAGTATTGAGAACTTTGATACCAAATGTACTTAAACGATTTTTAAGAACGAATGTTCTCAATTCAAGAATCAATGTACTTTAATAATTCTCTCTGTCTACAAAAATCGTGAAAAATTGCCATTTTTCGCGGTTCAAGACTGTATAGCCCCTTTTATTTATATTGTATCTCTACCTTTTTGTTCCATTCAGATGCTCCCCTGGAGATGAAGAAACTGCAGACGGCTCTCAACGCCTGCGAGATGAGCGACGAGGAGCAGGATCAGGATCGGGAGCAGAAGCAGCAGCAGCAGCAGCAGCAGATTGCCAAACGTACAACAGCCACAACTGCCGTTACGAGTAGTACCACCAAAGACCCAACATCAACAGCAGCCACATCGAGGATAACTAGAGCCACCACCCTGAGCACGGTGGACGAGAAGCCGGACAGCAAGCTGGTGCGTCAGCGGGTGGCCCTGCAGCAGCAGCGAAGGCAACAGGAGCAGCAGGAGCAGCCCACTGTTCCCAAGTCGCAGTCCTTGTCCTCCTCGTCGACGGTCAAGGATTCCCTGGAGGTGGTGGAGGAGACATCCCTGATAGATGCCAGCAATGAGACCACATCTCCTCCACCTGCGTTGCCCAGCAGCTGCAGTACGGGTGCGATACCCCGGCTCAATAGGCCGGGCATCTCGACGGGGGCCACGCCCAAGACGACGAGCACGACCACGACGACGACGCCCACCATCACGGCCCGGCTGCCCACGTCGCAGTCGCATCCGACGAGCTATGACCTGCCACCGGCCCTGCCGCACACCTATTCCGCAACGGCGACGGTACGCGGACCGTTGGGCATGTCCATGAGCAGCTCCGCCTCCGGCAAAGCGTTCGGCATGGGAGGAGGAGGAGTAGGAGGAGGAACTGCCTTCACAATGCCGCCCACCACCACAACGATTAGCCTGCTCCCGCTGCCGGCGCCTCCTCCAACGGTGGCCACGGCCACAGCGACATCAAGTATTCCCGGCCAGGTGCTGGAAGCCACGAGTCTGAGTCTGAGCCTAATGCGGCCGGCCACCGCATCCGGCGTGGTGCTGGGCGGACTGACCACCTCATCGTTCACCAACAGCTCAGCGGATCACCACAAATCACATCCGTCATCCGCCGGATCGGTAATGGGACGTGGCAGCAGCCTACTGCTATCACCCCCCTCGGCGGCGGCAGGGGCGTCGTCGTCGTCGTCATCGAGCAAATTCGAGCCAGAATTGGTGCTCAGTCCGGCTAAGCTTGGCCAGTAGAATTAAATGGGATTTAGTTACGGATTTTAGTTAGCCACCAGGTCTATCTATATATGTATATGTTTGTCTAGGTTCTAGGTACGCGGGTGTAAGTGTGAATGCGCATGTGTGTGTGTATGTGTTTTAGAGCTATGTGTGGTGTGTCTGTGTAAGAAGAAGTAGTGTTTAGATACCTACATATGTACCCTAAAGCTATCTTTTGAACGTGCCACAAGAACCACTTACAGAAGTGAATACACCCTTAACTGAAACTCTAAAAAGGTCATGTTCTGAAACCAAAACTAACCAAAATTCAAAAAGAAAACATCTATTATTAGATCTATTAATTGGAGACTCCACCTTTCCATTCAGAACATGACTCTAATTGTAATATTATTTCGCTTTCAGTGTCTGAACCTGTATAATTCCCGAGGCTTGCATCCTCTATAGTTCGCTAAGCCACTTGATTTCTCTGCCCGCCCTTTTGGATGTATCATCCACTCTATAGCTAACGACTCTTTCCTCAACATTCTAGATCTGTTCCTCAGGCTTCAGGTGGCATTAAGATCGCCCAAGTGCTCAGCAAAAAGTTGCCAACCTGCGCTCTTCTAAGCTATCCCAAAATATAAAAAAACATAGCCAGGGTATTATAAAGTTTGTATACCAAACATATCGTTAACTAAATACACAAACCGAAACTAACACTAACTATAATGTGAAACAAAAGAAAAGGAAACTTGGAGCGGTGACGGTCGTTGTCCAAATTGATAAAATGAAATGTATAAGAAAACTATAAAACCCATTAGATATGTATTGAAAAATGTTAGGGGACCGCTATACCCAAGCTAAGCTAAATGGCTAGATGTGCATACAATATTTGAAATATGTGCGGTTGCGTGTTTCTTTAAAGTCCAAACCAAAATCCAGGGAGTTCATAAAGTATTAGGCAATCGTTGAATGAGCTCTACAGAATATTAAAAACAGGAAATTTCAAATTCAACTAAAGTGGGCTATAATTGTAATTCAACTTTTGATTGAAAATTTAAACTCTTCATTAAACTGTAATATTCTACAATTTCGAAGCTATTGCTAAATTCTATGTGAAATATTTTGCTTGCTCTTTCAGCCGGCACGTCCCCCGAAATAAGTGGGCCGAATATAAAATAAGAACTAATACAAACCGAATCCAATAAAATCGAATGTGGCCGTTAAATAAAAAAAGCGCAAATAACTAAATGTAACATCCCTGAAACAAAATGTGTAAGATGCATGTACAGCAAACAAAAGCAGCAGCAAGACATAGAAAATTATAAACAAAAATGTATGAATTAGTATGTATGTATACTATGTGCAGAAATTAAAATGAAATATAAAAGAACCCATTGTATGAAATTATTGAAGGGTTGATTTGGAAGGTAAGATTAAAGGGTTAATTACTAAAGAAGTTCCTCGCAAGAAAGTTTTTTGCATGTATTACTTTTAACCTTAAAACGTAAGGGAATGGTTAAATAGAAATCATGCAGGCTTGACAATCCCTAAATCTTTCTTTTTTTGGCCAGTATTTGAGTAATTCGAACTTTCTAGCTAGTATATTAATTTTTGGCCGTTAGTAAAATTTGAAAGTTCCACAGGGTGTAACAACTGCAGCACAGGGGGTTTCATTTCCATTTTCTACATCTATCTTACCTCTGGTTTACAAATTCACAGCTAGATGTCGCTCGCAAAAATCGCGTATAATGTACACTTTTACGTAGAGTAGATGTAGAATGTAAAATAATAGTGAATATCCTGGTTCCAAACCTGCAGGATGATAGGAGATACTATGCGGAAAAGGTCGGAAGTCACACCTAGAAGCCGTTAGTCAGTTTTTGAATAGGTATCCTTTAAAGTTCAGGCATGGACCTGCTCTTAACCACTTTTTTTGTATCTCATTTCCTTTGATATTAGCAAGGGATCCTTTTTAGGCGGAATAACAACTCAATAATACCAGCTCAACAAAACCAAGAAGAAACATAGATCATTGATAATAAAGCTTTCAAAGTAGACCCCCGCAAGGAAGAGGAAATCCCAAAAACGCATTAGTTTACTTAATAAATTATAAAAATCTTAGGATATATTAGAAAACCATCTCTCCAATTAAAATTCCTTCAACAATTTGAAAAGATATTTTAGTTTATTTCACTTGTATGGGTTTAAACATGTTTTCCAAAGGGATTTTTGTGTGTTTGTAATTTCTTTTTATCTAGGTAAATATAAGTACAACGTGAAATATAAATTTGTATGCTAGACTTGATTGGGTGGCCTCAGTTAGAGTTATCTGTTGAAGTGAGCTGCCTTTGCTGAGGTCACTAAGCTGCTGTTAAGCAGTGACATCCGTTTACGTCTCGTACATTTTCCATGGTCAGCGCTTAGAAAAAGATCTACTATAACAATAATATCGTATCAGTTTTCCTTATATGTGTGTGTTTCTTCTGTGTGTGTATTCGTGTACCCATTACCAAAAACATTTCATTAGAATTCAATTCGTTTCAATTTAGTTCTCATCTTATCAATTCAGTCATGCCAAGCTCCAGAGCAGGGCTCTTCTAAAATATCGATCAGCGCTCAGTTCCAAAAAACATCATCTTTTTTTCGTGAATACCTAAAGTCGGGTCTTTGTTTCATTGTTGAGGATCTAAAAGTGCTACACGGTTATATTTTGTTCAAATTTATGAATACATATTTTAAATACTTGTTTATCTATATTTGCTGCTGTGTGGGCTCTACTACTGTTTGACATTGAGTTTCTAATTGATTATTCGTGTGTGAATTTCTAGGGATTAACATAGACACCAAAAACATGATTACTTATAGTTGGCTTTTTTCGCTCCTCCATTTTTTAATAGATTAAATTCTTATTGAAATTTGTATTGCTTCTCTATAAGCTGCAATAAAGTATATCAAAGGCCTGTTCGGGCGGCATTCTGGAGGCTTGAGTTCCCTCCCCTTTCAGTGCAATCTTTTGTCCGTTCTTCCTTTCCGTAAAAATTCCTGATAATGCTTGATTTCCATAACATTCTCGTTTTGTATCCGTGTTAGTCGTGGCTATACTTTAAGCTGCTTAAAATAAATATAACATGAGACATCCATTATGTTGTTTCGCGATTAATAAAACATCCGTTTAAAATACCCTTTGCGCATATCTGATAGATATTCTGCCTGTGCTGCTTTAAAAAAAAATTTAAAACTGACCTCTAATTATACTTCACATTATTTTCTGTTTTAGATTTTTATCACACCAATTTATATGCTGGCGGGTTGTTACTCGTTAAGTAATTGTTATCCTTATCAGTTATCTGCAAACACAGATGATACATCTATTTATAACTCAAAGCTGATCTTGAAGAGGGCAAAACAGATTGAGTGCGTTGTCAACGCTCACTTTCAACATTTTATCACCCTTGCGCTTCAGCGAAGCCTGTCTTACATGTCTACCAACTATGAAATGCAAAGTAACCGCCACTTAGTACTCTTAGTACACATTTTACGCATAATATGCCTGGGGCTGGGTTACGCCTCGTTCCTATTTATGTACAAAACACCGATATTTCAGATAGCAAGTACCCTCGTTACTTAGCTACTATCACACACACTGACTGAACTTGTTGCTGCCGCATTGTTGCTGTGTCAGAGAGGTTTTACAACTAGTATCATAGCTATTTTGTGAGTATTGCTTCATTTTTATACAGGGTTTTTGGTTACTCTAGGCTTTTTCCTTACAATATTTATTGAATTATTTCCACCTTGATATTTTGCCGTCTTGGGTAGAAATTAAGAGTAGGTTTTAGTAGTTTCAAATCTGAAATTGTCACTGTATTGATTGTGGTAGCAAACGAAATAAAATAAAAAATCATAAGTTCTTGCTCAGTATTTATTTATGTAGTACCCAATTGAAAGTGTATATATTGAAGAATCCTCCGGGCCATTCCGAAGTCATTCATTACACAAGTAAAAGTTCGGCATGTCTCCAATTTAAAACGGCTTCATATTTGCTTTCAAATTAAGACTAGAAACTGGACCTTATTGTCTAAACTCTACTTTGATACTGCACTTCTATATGGCGCGATAAAGTTGCTTATTAATAGATCAAATATGTGTTTGTATGGAAAGTTATCTGACGGTTTGCCTGCACCATGTTTATTTACAGGCAGCGAACGAAGCGGACAAGCGGACCCATTAAAATATGTACTTTGTTGTTTGGACATGCCCGCACTTTGATGTAATCGTTTTGTTTGATCAACTTAGAATTGTTGGGAGGGTACAAACAAGTGAGCCCAACAAAACCAAGTTAATGGGTTTCCAAAAAAGAACGACAAAATACGAGAGATCGTGTAAAAGTTTGGCATTTTGCCCTAAAAGTTTATGCTATTTTACAAATATACAATATATGCATATGTAGATGTATATCGCTTATGATTTGATTTGACTTGTTGATTGCCTACGAGCTAATAATACCTTAGGTTTGCACTAAGATTTCCGTATCGTATGTATGTAAGTATATATGTATAAGTATATCTATATATAAGTAATGTATACAATTGTATAATATTGCAATTTCCAAATGTTCAGTTTCAATATGATGTTCTTTTGTATGGTATAGGGCTTGGGGTGTTTAATGGGTTGAGGGTCGTGGACTGGTGGATCAATGGAGCCAACCATATATAGATTAGAATACAAAATTGCTTGTCTTCACTTGGTTAATAATAATATTACAATTTTTGTTGTCATTTCAAGGGGGTTTTTCGTCGTCCACAGCGACGTCTCATTTACAAATTTGATCCCTATGCTAATATTACTCGCTACAAATATATGTGTAATTATATGTTACGATAGAGATTTTTCTTTACTTTTTGTTTAGGTGTTTGTTAACCCAGATTCAAATGTTGTTTGAATTCACAATACATAATTCGTTTCGTGTGCTTGTCTACCGAAACATATCGCAAACTAAGATACTTTTTATACTTTTGTGTTTTTTTGTGCATCAGCGCCATTTGACTTGCATTAAATTGTGTTTAAACGATTCAGTATTACTCCAAGCTCCTTTAAGCTATGGTCAAAAGGCATACAGGGAAAAGTAATTTCTTTAAATTAGCAACCACTTCCTTACATCGTAAACAAATTAAAAAATAAATTCATTTGATTTAGTGGTTGAATTCTCTAAAAATACTATCCAAAACGTTTTACAGACCTTAAATAAACCTTGCAGATAGTTTTATTCAACTATCTGATTAAAAAGTTTTCTTATCCTAGTCTTGTACTCGAAAAATGATCGTTGACTATAATATAATTCTTGAAATAGTAAAACAAGAGATTTTATTCATAAAAATGTGTAAGCATATAAAGAGGAATCTAGCTCTGTAATTCACATAATCAAAAGTACTACAAAGTGTATTACTGAGATATACAATATAGAAACAAATATAAAAAAATGTTTTTCACTTTTTGAAAATTAAGGTTATTTTGCATGTGCGAATGTACAGAACAGTAATTATTCACAGATAGTACTTGAACATAATGACGTTAAACAAATTTTTGACTAATTTTAAATGTTTTAAGATATAAGATCAGTGTAATAAGATACTTTTTATTGAGATTAAGAAAGAAAATTATTTCCATTGAAGAAATGTTTAATTTCTTTCGAGTACAAGACAATAAGATGGCCTTGAGTTGATTGAAGCGTGGACTTTCCCTTTTGTGTGCCCCTTGCCCATAGGCGTCTTTAAAACAGGCCCTTGGCGCCGGCAAACTTACGTCGCCGGAATCACATGAGTCATCATTTGAGCGTATTGTAAATGTTATCCTCTCCGGCCAATTCCACGGTGGTAATGTGGGCAGCATGTCTCTCGCCCAGCGGTTCCTCCCCCAGGTACACGGTGTGGTAACTGATGGCGCTGCTCTTGACCGCCGTCGTAGCACCATTCACCTCGATGCGACTGACGGACTGTGGTCCGTTGACCGAATACTTAAGCGACGCGTAATCCCCATCATCGTCCTGCACATGGGTTAGCTGAGTGGTGCCCGAAAAAGTGTCCATGGTGTGCGAGGGACAGATCTCCGCGTATATGTTCTCCTTTGTGTAGTCCACGGCCGGAACTGGTCTGTTGGCAGCGTCCGATCGTAGGCAGCCCTCGCCGGAAATTACCAGAGAGTCTCGCACACTCGAATAAGGAAGATCATCTTCCACCAACGAGGCGGGAGAAATCGCCAGATGGTTGAGTCCTCCTCCCAATAGGCAAACTCCACCAGCTGCCCTTCTTCCTGTGACCGGTTCCCTTGCCATCGATTGTTGCTGCGCCTTCAGCAGCATTAGATGATGTTTTTCCTTCTCCGCCTCGTGAAGTTGCAACTTTTGCGGCAGCGAAAAATGACGCAACTGGTGCAAGCTCGACGACGACTTGCTGTATTGCCTGGTCTTCACATGAAACTCGTTGTAGAGCTTCTCCGTGATGAAGGACTGTGGGGGTGGTGTCTGGTTCTCCACATCCTCCAGCTCGGTACCCGCCTCGCTGATGGCATCGTTGTGATTGTGGCTGGCCAGAAGGTCGGGACGAGGTTTGCACTGGCCATTTAGCAACTCAATATCCTGCAGGGACATCGACTTCTGCAACATCGTATCCAGCGATTTGGGCTCCATAGTGGTCAGCATCGTGGTCTCAGTGTCGGAGGCTGCTGTGCTGTTCAGAGAAATGCCGTCCTGCTCGGGCTGCTCGGGATCCGAGCCGAAACGCTCCTGCAAAAGCTTAGACATATCCGTGTAGCGCTCCATGCTCATTCGCTTGGCCTGCTCATCGAGATCCAATTCAGATTGCTGCTTTTCTATCTGTGGCTGCTGCTGTTGAGGATTATGCTTGCCGAACCACTTCTTCTTGGTGGACTGGAACACCCGCATGCGCTCAGAGATGCGATTCAAACTGGATTCCGACTGAGCTGCAGCAGTGGCCGCTGCCTCCTTGGCCTCCAGGTTCTCTAGATCGGATTTGCTGAGGAAGATAATCGAATCCTCTTTCTCGTGCGCTGCTGCCATGGTGCTCTTCTCGCGTCTCAGGATCTTTGGAAAATGCAATGGCTTCAGGATTCGTAGACCCTCGCGATTCTTGCTTCCCGAACGTTCCGATCGCTGAATCAACTCAATTTCCACCAACTTCAGGAACGGATCGCAGTTAAATTGACAGAACTTCAACATATTCTGCACATTGGTGTTGGCGAGCATCCGCTGTTCGGAATCAAAGCCCAGATAGCTCCTTACCAGCTGCATATCCCGACTGGGATAGAACTTTCTCAGCTGCAGGGGCGTCTGGGTGTCCAAGTCCTCAATAGAACAGCCCACGACCACATCCTCCTTGGTCACCTGACTAATGCACAGCTGCTCTGGGATGTCGGGACTACCAGGACCTGAGATATAGCGCAGTGTCAACGGCAACTGCTTGGCCGCAGTCACCAAAGCACCCAAACGATGCACGCACTCCGGATTCAGTTTACGCTGGGCATCGCCTAGTTTCTGAAGTAGCTGAGGAATTCCCGGCTCGATCTCGTAGAACTTGCCCTTGGTGGACAGTGGAACGTACATCACCTGCCTGTTCTCATTAAGCAATTGGGCGTACCGGTTCTTTTCCTTCTCGCGGCCCATGTAGCCACTACCATGGGACTTGGACGCATTTCCGTTGCCATGCTGCGACATATTGGCCTGCTCCTGTTTGCCATCCTCGAAGACGGCCAAAAGACGGAACACCTGTCCTCCCCTTGCCGTCGTTTTCACGTATTGTGGACGTCCCTTAATTATGGGCAGGCAGCCCTCGTGCGTTGGACTACTTGTACTGTTGGGCGAGGATTCAGTGAACGCCGGCATGTTATCCACCGAGGCGAACTTGTAGACCCGTTCCCGAACCAGCTGTATCAGGGATCCATACTGCGTGGCCGTGGGGAGACCCTTCTCGCTCACCAGCGAAAAGTAACCTGCGGTAGATGAAATTGTAGCATAAGTTAAAGTAGTCGAAAATCAAACGACCTTTAATTTAATTCCAGCCCTTATATATAGTCAATAATTATGAGAAAGTACGTTTTGTTTATTTACCTAACTGCTAACAATGATTTTTTAGAGATTGTTTCTAGCTGAAATATTATTGACTGCATGTTAAGTTTGTTTTGCATTTTCAAGTCAGTTAAAGTGAATAATTTAAAATTCATTTGATTTTGAAATCTCTTTGAACACGACAGATATTTAGGTTTCGGCCACCGAACAAGTCTGTTTACTGTCTAAAATATTAAAGCAATTTTTCCGACAGCTGACAGCTTTGCACTGAGTATAGTACACGATTTGCAATCCAAAAATGAGTACAATAAAAATAAAACAAATAACGTGACGTACGGCTGGCCACATAGCATCGGGAAATTTGTATATATACCACAAAGTGTAGCCGTTTTTTAATGATTTCATACATTAGATACATTTAAAATTGAAACGAAAGAGGGAAATTTATCACAGCCCGGTTCAAAAGGGAAAATATAGACGCAAAAAGAATTGAATGCAATTAAAAGTTACATGTATCAAAGGGTCTATTAATCATTCCAATTAGTTTTATTCGCGCCACTGAGTTCAAATTATAGAAATACAAAAAACAAGTTGATGGTACAGAGACTAATGCAATCAATGTCGAGAGCAATTGAATCAACACAAGTAAAATGCAATATGGGGACGTGCAAATTGAATCACTCCAATTTGCCATCAATTTTTTTTCCGGACATTGCAGGCCTAATGAATAAAATGATAATACCCAGCGTCAGTGAGTCTATAAATTGGCAGATTGCATAATATTTGCACACATCGGTTTACTTTGCGCCTCGCCAAACGGCTGTGAAAAGTCACATGGCGTAGCGAGTTGAAACAATGGCTGACCGCAGTTGGGGGGATCAGGAAGTGGGTGGCGGTGTCGGTGGCGGTGGTGCTGGTGGGCCACCGAAGAAGTCACCGCTGACTGACTGACTGGGCCAAAAAAACACCAGCACTGGAACCCCGCATAGAGCCCCATTGCATAACGCCTGATGAGCAATAGTTGCGATTACTTTTCATTGTTGAACTGTGACTGTGTCACGCAAATCGCAAATCGCAAAAAAAAGAATGTAGAGGAGTGCGGGATACATGTGTATGGATTGTGTACTTAGTAACCTCGCACTGGAAGATCACAGTTCGCTTGGCTGACTCACTAAGTGAGTTAGTAACGACTGGACCGTGTAATCAGGCACAAGTAAGCATCTAAATGCATTCGTCATGAGAACACTAAACTGTGCCTTCAAAGAGCCCCGTCTGGATTATGTAAATAGGCATACGACTATAATCTGCCATGTTCGTGCCGAATCAGTCACAGGGTTTTTTTTTAAATCATTCGGTTATGCCCTTAGCTACTGCCAATCAGCGCATCAATCGGTGGGTCATTGAAGTTAATTTACTGTGAGCGATAAATTAACCTCCCTCAATCGAATGACGACTTACTTGGGCCGACCCTAGTCAGAGCCAACTTGTAATTGGCATTAGCCGCTACAGTAGGGCCAGTTGTTGCTTCTCACAGGGGAAAAATTCTTCTGCCATTTCAGCCATGAAAAATGGATCTTTAACTTATTGAAACTAATTACTTCTCTTAATAAATATAGCAGGTAATTAAACAGCATTCCTATAAAAACTATTAGACCAGATAAAATCAGGTTATTGATGGCTCCAATTTAACTAAATCTCTTTATAGTTAATTTAGTATAATAAAATACAATTTTATTCATAAAATCCTTTCACGTACCGGATGTAATTCAATTTGCTTATTGATTTTAGCTTATTATTTGCTCATATAAATAACAAAACAATTCTGTTTTAAAATGGCATTTATAGAAAATTGTTTGCTTTTATAATTTAAATTACCATAAAGTTTTATCAATGTTCCAAAAAATTATTTTCTGTAAATCCTTAACACTTTGGTGTTGCCACATAATTAAATCATCAATTTCCAAAACTCACCCGGAAACTCCTGTGGAATGAGCACAGTCTTTTTGCGCTGCGAAGCCTGAGTCTTGGCATTGTGTCCGTGGTAGATGTTTCGCTGTCGCACCAGCCTGTAGAGCAGAAAAAGCTCGTCGTGGCCGGGTGGGGTGCCGCCATTGCTGCTGTGGCGACTGTTGTTGATTTGGTGACCAGAACCAGAACCAGAGCTTGGTCCAGGACCAGGACCAGAGCCAGTTCCGTTTCCGGTGCCGCTTCCTCCGCTGGACGATGAATGGGTGCCGGTGCCGGTGTCAATGTTGCCACTAGAGATGTTTCCACCACCACCAGTCGGATTCGCTCCCGTCGAGGAGCTGCTCGATGCCGCCGTGGAGGAGCCGTGCGATGAGCTGGACTGCAGCGTTTCGTTGGAACTCTTGCTCGCATGCAAGATGCGGACGACACGGGGCAGGGAATTCCGCTCGAGAAACACATCGGCGGGCAGGGCTTCCTGCTGCGACTGAAAGACAATTGGATTGTTAGTTATCAATTTCATCTTTAAATTTATTAAGGAAAAGATGTCAATTCTTATCGTAAATTTGGTTCATTTTAAATCTTTTGATGAATACTCAATTATTTAAATTAAATGTTCTAGGAAAATCAAACAATTAAAAAACCAAATGACTGAAATTATAACTGTTTCCAAGCCATAAGTTAAATTGCCATGAAATTAATAGCCTTAATAACGTCTCTTGAGGTTTTGTGGCAACGGCAGATTTTTCGCGAGATTAGAAAACCAATTGACGTCATAAGCTGTACACTCTACGAAATTAATTATTATATATTATATTTAATACGTCTTAAAACTATTAATTGGGTATTTTATTAAGTAAACAGATTAAAGATTACAAGTTTTCAATCAAGTACATGATAGGCTGGTGGAGCAGCAAGTATTTAATGATATTTTACATTTGAAAATACCTATCATAAAGAAATTTAATTACAATAATAAGAAAAATAAACCACTAAATACAAATTTGTATTGGGTTATTTTAAATATATCTTTAACACAGTTTTCCAAGAATTTTCCTTGGGGTATTTAAAATGTACCATTCTTACTTTCAAAGATAAATAATTTTTCTCGGTGCCCCTTAGTGTCAATTTATTCTTACCTCGCTGCTGCCCTTGGAGGCCTTGCTGTCCCCGGTGGAGTAGTCGCCGCTGCCATTGATCCCGCCACAGAATCCGGAATAGCCGCCCCCCGATCCGCCCGCCAGTCCTGAGCCCGCTCCCCCTCCCAGGCCGTAGGTGCTGTTGTTGGCGCTGCCGCGCAGGCGTCGTGCCAACCGCTGGTTCAACTCGATCTCATTGCGACGGGCCAGGCGGGCGTTCTCGAAATCCGCCACCGAGAACATATTGGAGCTGGTGTCGTGGGAGTTGAAGCGCCGCAGCTTGGGCTTGCGCGCCCCGGCCGCCAAATGGTGGCCGTGATGGGCGCCAACTGCTGCTCCACCTGCAAAAGAAGAAAATGAGGAAAAATTAAGGTAAGAATCGCAACGAGGGGGAGTTGAAGTAGTGGCACATTGTGCATCGGTGAGGCAGGCAGTGAGGTAATCGCATAAATATAAATGCACATGTGAGTGTCTAATTGCCACCCGTTGTCTGCAGTGGGAAAAACCCACACACCGTCGTATCAACTTCCACATCTACAGGGGCACAGCTCTCTATGGTGTATGGTGTGTGTTGTATGGTGTATATTCCCCAAGCGAATTTCAGTTGGCGTGACGCAACGAAAAGGCAAGTGGTTCAAAACTGTTGCTAAGCGCAGCTAATTTTCAGTCAACGGTCAACGAGACGATGACACACAGTGGGCAATATATCGCCACCAAGCGGAACCGCAAAATTAACAAGAATTTTCGCAATAGAAGACCGAGTGTCGAGAGATCTTGCGCTGAATTTTAAGTGGGGAAATCGAACTTTTTTTGTTCAAGACAGCCATTTATAGACCGAAATAACTTAAAAGCACTGAATAGCTGAATAGCACCTGTACACAACATTCTTGCTCTCGACTTTGTAACACAACGTTTCAAGGCTAAATATAAAATAGGTTGACAATCTCAAGCAGGGAAACCTATAGACATTTATAGTAAATCTTTCATTTATCTATTAAAATGTCATGCAAATACTAGCCACGATTGTTTATTTTTCATAGTAGTTCAAGTTTAAAGATAGCTTAAATTGCTTTATTTGCAGACGATTCCATAATTCAAAGTTTACTAATCAGTGTATATTTGCTTGTTATAACAACGTCTGGGCAAACAAATTTGTCACTAACAAGACTTTATTTGCAATACAAATATATTGACTATCAGCTAATTGAAACTCAATTTTTGCTATTGACGTATTCCTATGGGTCATTAATACAAATGCATAGCTTGTTTGGTTTATGACAAGTTTGACAATATGAAAGGAAATTATTTTTAGGTTGGTTCTAAAAGATGTCGTTATCAAAATCAAGTCCGGGGGGTCAACGTTCTATTGTAAGCTATTGGCAAATGCATTTCATTATCGATTAGGTCACCTCAATCGTTATTTCCGGTTTTTTGATTATTTTTTAAAAGAACTTTTTGCGATTGCGCAGAAACAGTTTTTTTCGATTGCCATACGGTTTGGTATTGCACTCGAGTAAATATTGCGGAAGAACCCCCAAAACTTCGAATCTTTGAGGTCTTCGACTTGACAGTTTTAAGGTCGAAAGCTATTTTGGGCCCAAAAGATCCGATAGGATCGGATATCGAGGCATTAATAAAAAAGAGTCAACAACTGGAAGCGATTAACGACAAACAGCTACGCAGAAAACACAGGAAAAGATAACACCCTCATGGGCAAAACATATTATTTTCGTTATCGGACCGACATCGAAAAAAGCAATTGTCTGTCGCCCCAAACAATGAGCATGAAATCACTTAGCCGTTTTTTTTTGTTTGCCTTTTTTTTGAGAAATGTCTGAGCGAACGAGTGAACCTCAAGCGGTGCAATTAAAAAGAGATATCGCGATTTTTGATTGCTCATTGTTCGATTGGTGCCCATGGTGCGATTTGGATCCGCTGCTACTACCGCTGATTGGTGGTCGACGGGGCATTACTCACTTTAATTGCGCACATTTGGCTTAATTTTTCGCCCCACACACCACGGCACACATTTAATAAATGCAGGCGAGGGCAAAAATCGCAGCATAACACCGGGAAGGGGCTAAAACGTTTTGTGAAATTGCTCTTATCTTTTGTGAAATATCAATTGTAGAGTCCGTGAGTGAGCGAGACAGCGAGTAGCAGAGTGGAGGAGTGGGAGCGAGAGGGAGTCAGTGGGTGAGGGGGTGTCATCGTCACGTTTCGTGTGAAATTATGCGAAGCGACGCGCGCGCCTAGGAAAAAAAAAGAAATACACCATAGAAGCAACACAATCAGCAGTTACGAAGAAATAAGGAAAAGCTTTCTTCTGGTAACGAGGCGTAAAATACCCTTCCCAGTACTCCCATGTAAACCTTTTCACAAATGTATACTAAGTTCCAAAATAGTAAAGTCTTGACTCTTTTTTGTTGGAGATTATAATCTTTGGTTTAAAGACTCCATAGAAATAACACACAAATCTATTTACATCCGATAAACAAATTAATATGTGTAAACATTAAACACATATCTTGAAGTTTATAAGACTTGTATCAACGGTTTGATGATGAATATTTCTTCTATTTTTTTTATCAATGAACGACTATAGATTGCTTAACTCTAGTTGCTTCTAATTGATCGTTACGTCAAAGTTTGAGCAGACAAAAGAAAATGTTGTTGTATTTAACCCCATTAGAATTATCACTTAAACTATTACTTATTCAGAGTGACGATTGTTCTTTCATCCAAACTAGCTGATCATAAAAATAGCACATGTTTCGGTTTTCACTTTCGAAATTTTGTTGCTTCGATTTGCACAAAAATAAATATTTATACGCTTTGGATTTGCTTTTCCTAAAGCTAAATACAGTAGCGTTTCCATAAGTCGGATCATTAGAAAGCCAACCAATTTGGATTTATGGAAACTTCGAAAAACGTAATGCCTTTCTGGGTTTCTATAGAAATCCCTTCATATTATTTCATTTCAGAAACACATTTATAGAAGACACACTGTATAAGCAAACTTGGCTCATTTATTACATGTCATAAAAATCTATAACGGCGAAATTTTTATGGAATATGACGCAGGAACTGCACTCATTAAGAAAAATTGAGAACTTTATTGCTCGACTTTTTTAAAAAAGAATGACATTTAACGAAAAAAATGAGGTTACATTATTATTATTAATGCGTTTTTAAAAACACTTTGAGTTATTTACTTTTTACAGCAGCAAACGTATGGTCTAAATTAGCATACGATATTGCAAAAATAGTAAGTGCTCTACAGCTTTAAACTTGGAAAAGAAACTTCCAAAGAAAAAAAACTTTTTTGCAGAGTTATAAATTACCATATTATGTGTGGGAGTAGAAACTACACTTTTACTTGACTTGGTTATCATAAAAATGGGTTTGAAACCTAAAAACATCAATTGAATTTAATTCAGTGTTCTTCAGGATTATAACGTTTTTTTAATGTTAGTCTAAATTACCATACGATATTGCAAAAATAGTAAGTACTTGACTACTTTACTTTACAGCTTTTAACTTGGAAATGAAACTTTTAAGGAATACAATTTTTTTTTGCAGGGTTATAAATTACCATATTATGTGTGGGAATAGCAACTACTACTTGTCTTGGTTATCATAAAAGTGGTTTTGAAACCCTAAAAAATCAATTGAATTTAATTCAGTGCTCTTCAGGATTATAACTTTGTTATAATGTTGGTCTAAATTAGCATACCCCAAAAGCAGGGCATCCCAAAAAGCAAAGGCGACGTCATTGAGCAAACAATACCCTCTCCTTGCTCTCCCGCTCTCCTCTCGCTTGTTTGGAGCGCGTGCCTTGTCTCCCGCTCCCGCCACCACCCCCTTTTCACACACACACACCGACCGCTCTGAGCTTACCGTTACATGCAGCTGCCGCTGCAGCTGCGACGCTGTTGCTGGGTGCGCCTGCTGCTGCTGCTGCTGTTGCGGCCCCGCTGCCGCCCACTGTGCCTGCGCCTGCTCCTCCCACTGTTGTTGAGCCAGGATTATTTGTGCCTGTTGTTGTTGTTGCCGTAGTGGGTGTGGATGCAGTTGTTGTTGTTGCTGCCACCGCCGCTGCGGCCGCCATGTGCGGACTGCTCTTCACAAGCCAATTGGCCAGGTGCCGCTGCCGCTCGAGCTCGATATTGCTGCGCTGCATTCCGATACCGGACAGCTTGAAGGTCTCGTTCATAATCGCAATCAATCAAACCGAAAAAAAAGAATGCGCCACTGCAACGAGCGACGCGTCGCCGCCGTCGAAACGAATAATCCAACGCTATGCGTCTCGCGATGTCGATTTTCAGCGGCCAAATGAGCAGTGAGCAGCCGAGCAGCCAAGTTGTTGTCCAACTGCAGTAGCGCTCTCCGCGATCGTTGCTGCTGTAACGAGAGAGCCATGGCCAGAGAGAGAGAAAAGCGTGAGAGCGTGAGCGAGAGAGAGAGAGAGAGACGGGAGAGCGCAAAAGTGCGCACAGTGGGCAGCGTTTACATAAGCGACGGCAGTGTGGCCAGCACAGTGGCCCCAATCTGACAGCTGGACACTCTCACAATTACCTGCCTGCGTGCCTTCTTTATAAATAATATTTACCAAGCTGCCCGATTTTGTTTGGCAAATATTCTTAACTTATTATCCAATACCTACTTATTTCTGTTTGTGTATTATTATGGGGTAGTGTGCCAGTTCAGGGCTCTGAATCATTATTTCACAAGAATTCATAAAAAAAAGAAATATATATTTTTATGAAATGACTCTGCTTAAATATGCATTTTGAAGTGACTAAGGCAAATGTTATTTTTTTGATAACCCAACGCTGAACTTTACATAATTTTTGGCATTAAACATGAAAATATTTAAACTTTTAATAAATTAAAAAGACTTTAAAAGTCCTGAATCTTAGCCATAATAAATATTTGCTAGCTAATTGCAACGAAAAAATATGTTCTATTAAGCTAATGATCAATGGCAGAACCAACTGTGCAAACTTTTTTATAGAGTTCGTGTACCCCTACTCCCTAGTGTAACAACAACAATTGCGAAATGTGTAAAAAGATGTTGAGCTTTACAAAAAAAAATCTCCATCGCAATTCAGATGGTTGATGTGCGCGCTTGTGTGTGTGTGTGTGAACTAGCTGTGCGTGTGTTGCGCATAAATTAAAATTGCGATGATGACGATGACGACGTTATCAGAAAAGTCAGCTCGCGCTCTACCTCTCTCGCTCTTTTGCCCGTTCGTTGGCTTGTTCAATGTCGCCGCACCTTTTCAGACGTCGACCGCCCACCGCCCACATCGCCACCCCCCACCCACCGCGCCTGCAA